GGCCTTTAGTTGTTCGTCATCACTCTCCAAGCACAAAAGAATTCATAGTGGGGATAAGCCATATGAATGTAAGGAATGTGGGAAGGCCTTTAGTTCTTCCTCTCACCTTATAATACATATCAGAATTCACACTGGAGAGAAGCCTTATGAATGTAAAGAGTGTGGGAAGGCCTTCAGTGAGTCCTCAAAACTCACTGTACATGTGAGAACACACACTGGAGAGAAACCCTATAAATGTAAGGAATGTGGGAAAGCCTACAATTGCCCCTCCTCCTTGAGTATCCATATGAGGAAACACACTGGAGAGAAACCCTATGAATGTCTAGAATGTGGAAAAGCCTTCTATCTTCCCACTTCCCTGAGTACACATGTGAAAAATCAAAGCAGAGAGAAACCCTATGAATGTAAGGAATGTGGGAAAGCCTTCAGTTGTCCCTCATCCTTTAAAGCACATGTGAGAGATCATGCAGGAAAGATTCAATATGTGTGTAAGGAGTGTGGGAAGGTCTTTAGTCGTTCCTCGTCCCTCACCGAACACTTGAGAACTCACAGTGGAGAGAAGCCTTATCAATGTAAGGAATGTGGGAAAGCTTTTATTAGTTCCTCCCATCTTACAGTTCACAGAAGAACTCACACTGGAGAGAAACCTTATACATGTAAGAAATGTGGGAAAGCTTTTATTTATTTCTCAGCCCTTAGTATCCACATGAGGACACACACTGGGGAAAAACCATATGAATGTAAGGAATGTGGGAAAGCATTTCGACATTCTTCATACCTTACTGTCCATGCAAGAATGCACACTGGAGAAAAACCCTTTGAATGTCTGGAATGTGGAAAAGCCTTCAGTTGCCCCTCGTCCTTTCGAAGACATGTGAGAAGCCACACAGGAGAGAAACCATATGAATGTAAGGAATGCGGGAAAGCCTTTATCTGTCCAGCCTACTTTCGAAGACACGTGAAAATCCACACTAGAGAAAACATATGAACATAAAGAATATGGGAATATCTGCAAGGCTTTTTCTAATCTTAGGCAACTTGTGAAGTCTCACACTGTGGAGACACCCAATGAATGTGAGAAAGTAGGAGATAGTCACTCATTCTTTTGAAGACTTGAAGTTACCTATGTGAAACCTTGTGTATGTAAACCATGTAAACCCTTCCTGAACATTACTTCACTTATTACATATAAGAAAATTCATAGCAGAAAACATCATTTCCTCATTCTTAGGGTAGTCTGCTGACTCATTTTTTACTGTTTTGTAATGAGATTAAAGGTGACAAATTTACTTTTTCAGCTGTAGGTAGATACTTTTTAGTATGAGATGTGTTTGTTTTGGTTCACATCTAAGTGTTATTTCCATTTTTTTTCTTTCTCATACTGGGGATTGATTTTCAGTTTTATAAAGCCTTTTAGACCTATGGCTTATTTGAAATATATACAGGAAGTCCTTGACTTACAAACATTTGAGTTGCAAACTTTCACAAGGTGCACCATATAAGACTCACATTGTTGGCTTATGAACGAATCCAACTTATGAACAATTCTCCAAGAATGGAACTTGTCTGTAAGTCAGGGACTTCCTGTATATATTTTGAGACACGGTCTTACTGGCCTTGAAGTTCTGGACTGAAGTAATTCTCCTGCCTCAGCTTTCTAAGTAGCTAGGACTATAGGCACACACCACTGTGCCTGTCTGAAGGATAGCTTTTCCATATGCAGGCCTTTAAAAAATTGTTTTCCAATTCTTATTCTATTAAGTCTATAGTTATATAGTTACAGTATAGATACTTAGATTTTTTTTTTTGGTGTGATAGAAGATACTAGAAGTTGCCTACCCAATATCCCAATATTCCCCCCTTTATCTTCTTCCTCCTCTTTTTTTGTAAACTAAGAGAACCTGTAGTTTTTTGTTTTACTTTTTGCTTTTGATGGTATTAGGGATTGAACCTAGAGCCTTGTACTTGTGTAGAGCTAGGCAAATGCTGTACCACTGAGCTACACCCTCAGCCCATTTTATTTTTAATTTTGAGACAGAGTCTTTCTAAGTTGCCCAGGATGGCCTCAGACGTACGATCCTCCTGCCTCAACCTCCCGTATGGTTGGGATCACAGACATGCACCACTGTACCTGGCTATAGTTTTTGAAAATATAAATTTTTACTATCAAAAGTTTTTTATGTGTAATACTTTCACCAGATATTAATAAGTACGAAGATTTTGAAAGAGGATAGTCTCACCTGATATACTATTTTCACATTTTGTTCTCTGTTCTTGCCCATGGCTGGGATTTGGATCCAGTATTTTGAGTTAAAAAATTGTGCTATGTTAACTGGTATGGTTAGGGACTTCACTTCCCAGAATCACTTCCTTTTCCAGTTCCAGTATACAGTAGTTTACAATAAGAGGTTGTATGAGATTTGGAAGGCTGAAGGGATGAAATCCGTGTTATCTGTGTAGTAGCCCTATAAGACGAGTAGATTCATAGTGGCCTGGTGGGACTCTGGCTTTTAGCTAAATTTTCTGTTGAACCCACTGATCCATACTTGCTCAAAACTGAACATTAAGTGCTTGACTTTGGACTCCTCAGAGGCTGTAGCTCCATAGACATCTCAATGAGCTACTCCATCATGGCTGTACACAGCTTCTTGGATTTTCTAGTAGACTCTGGCAGTGTCACTCTGGTCCTTCTGGCACATTAATTGCCTTCTTAGAATTGATCCCCATTTAGGGCTAGATTGTTGTCATGTGCAGAGCCCAGTGCCATGATCAGTTTGATCATGAGGAAAGACACATCTGTGCAAGCCTGCTGTGGTTTCAGAAGCAAGTGGAGCTATGGATAGCATGGGAGTTTATGCTAGGTATAATTGAGGCAATCAACAGACAGGCATTACCCAGTTTTAGTGGAGGAAGATTTTTATTTGACATCTTGAAACAAGATTTTATGCCTTTTTATCTGACAGCACTAATACTTATTTAAAATACATTTAGCTACTCCCCTTTTCTATTTTTATTTCTTGAAAATAACCACTTTTTACTATTTTATTAAGGTATACATACACTAATATGCACAAAGTGCTAATTCATGTACAGCTTGATGAAATTTCATGTATTTATACAGCATGGTAAACATATTTTCAGGACTTTAGGAAGTTTATTCCTTCCCTTTCTCAATAACTCCAGAGAGGCAACCCAGTTTTTATTCATTACAATTGATTGGATTTGCTTGTTCTTAATTTTTAAATAAATGTTTAAGTACAATGTGTATGTGTATCTTAGTTACTTTTCTTGTTGCTGAGACAAAATACCTGATACCCAAAGTTAAGGGAGGAAAGGTTTATTTAGCTCACAATTTGTAGAGGTTTCAGTGCATAATTGACTGGCTCCAAGGCAGGGTGACATGACAGACAGGGATCGCAGAGGAGAAACTTCATGGTGGGCAGAAGGTAGCAAAGCAAACCAGCAAGGGGTTAAGACAAGCCTCTTTCTGTCCCTTATATTCAGACTACCAGGATTAGAGTGGTGCCAAACCAATCAGTGGACTGATTTAGTAATCACCCACCCTTAATCCTAGCATTGCACCATGAATTAGTCACACACTCTAGAACCAGCCACTTCTGAAAAAGTCCCACCTATGACTGCATGAGGCTTTGGGGGAACATCTAGACAAGCCATAACAATGTCTGGCTTCTTTTGTTCAATGTAATGTCTAGTTTGCTTTTTGATTCTTTTGGTAGACTTGTGCACTTATTTCTCTTGGTATATGCTACATATGGAAGGATTCAATTACCAACTTTATGTGTAATTTTGGTTTGTATTCCAGATTTTAAAATTTTTTATTCCAACTGTAATCCCCAAAGCTGCATGAAATTTTCAGTTGTTTCACGTACCTGACCAGCACTTTGTAATTTTAGCCAGTCAGAAGAGGATGCAGTGATAATTGTTTTTTTTTGTTTTTTTTTTTTGTATTAAATTCTTTTATTCGTACATTGTAGGTATACAACACAATTACATTTCTCATTGGGAATTGT